GCTCACGTGGGCGCGAGGCTGCAGCCGGCGAGGAGATGGACAGCGGTAACGGGAAGGGACTTGGGTCCTGGGAACCTCTCTGCTCGGACGGGCTTCTAAGGCCCCCGGCGGCCGCACCTCTGCCCCGTCCGAGCTCTTCCTTTTCCCCCCTCTAGAGTCTGGGCCACTTGGCATGTCTGTGTTCAGGAAGTGCAGCTGTCCTTAGGAATGCCTGCCTCCTTTCTGTGGCAAAGTAGTGAGTAACACCTCAGTCTCCAGATTACAAGGGGCACTTCAGTTGCATCTCTTTTCTCAAACTTTAAGATTATTCCAGCTGTTTTGAAATGCATCTATAATATTTCATGCAGTTGTAAAATGAGCAATATCAAAAGCAAAGTCACTTGGGCTGCGTGTGGCGCTGGGGTGCCCCTGCCCTGGAGGGAGAGGGGTTGGGCAGGGCTGGACGAGCTGCGGGGTGCGATGAGCTCTGTGTGTGTCCGTGTGAGACGGGGATGGGCTTCCTGATCCTAAGGAAACAAGTCGTGGATGCTACCTCTCTGGAAGTGTTCAAGGCCAGGCTGGATGAGGCTTTGAGCAACCTGGTCTAGTGGAAGGTGTCCCTGCCCATGGCAGGGGGGTTGGAACTAGATGGTCTGTAAGGGCCCTTCCAACCCAAACCGTTCCATGGTTGTATGAAACCTGTGAGATATGCCAGTTGCAGAAATCCACCAGGACAGTGGAAGATAAACACACTCGTGCTCCATCCTGTATACACAGTTCTGCACTCATTCTTCCCTCTTCGTGTGTGGTGAGGGTATGCCTAACAAGTTTTGAAAGCTACTTAATTATATCATGTAATTGGATTTATTTTTTAAGTTTATTCTGGGGGGGCATCAAAGTTGTGGCCATTTGGAGCCGCAGTCACAGTGATTCTGTTTGGTTTGAGGGCCAAAACTGAACCCAGGGCAAAGCCTTGTGTGAGAGCTGCTTTCGGAGATAATTTCTGAATGATTGCTGGTTTTAACTGTATGAGCCTACACCTACATCACTGAGCAGGTTTAGAAGAATAAAGTATGGACATGTATACGTATATTCTGCCCCCCTCCCCCGCCCTCTTAATTAGGACTTTTAATATTAGCTCTATGCCAGGCTTCAATCTTTCAATTCAGAATAGAGCCCCAGGTCGTACTTTTGATAGGGTTTACCTAGTTTAAATTACTTTGAAATACATCTGCTGTGTCTCGTGCTGTTGACAGATTCTCTGATGTATTAAAGAATAAATCATGGCTGGAAGTTGAAGCCTTGCTCATCTTTCTGTTATTTTTGAAAGTAAAATGTTGTGGATATTATCTGGCATTATCCTCATATTTTATTGGCAAAAAAGCATTATGTATGGGAGACTTGCAGTTTTTCTTGTGGTAGGTCTGACCTGGTTTTTATGGCTGTGGAAGTTGGTCCTAAGCGATGTGTGGAATTCAGGTTTGGACTTTCGGTAGCTGTTAACTTTTGCATGTGTAAAAAGTCACACAGAGGGGTCAATTCCGTGTTTAAAAAGTAGATAGCAATATTCTAGCATGGACAGGGTTTAGGGGTGAAAAGTTGACAAATTGTTTTACATGTGGTGATGCACCTACTTCTTCACATGCAGTAGTTTGAATTTTTGTAAAGATTTGGAAATTGGAATATGGACATAAAAAGGATACCTGTAGTAGGTTCTCAATGTTTGAACAAACTTGCCACTTCTAAATTTCCAATTATAGTAAGGACTGTTGGAAAAAACCCCTAAAACCTCTAATTTATCCTGCGTGCAGTGCCCCAGTGCTGTGCTCACCTTGGTGGTGATAAAAATCAAACTGACAGAGATAAGGAGCAAGTATTCAGTAAATGTTTTTCTTCCACATCTGTGATGTAAACATATAATCTTGCTTTTTTCTACAGTGGTAACTAAATGCTCTCTGAGCCTCTAGATGTGCCTAGGCATTAGAGGCTTTGTTTTAAGTTGGTTGATGCTACTGTTTTGCTGCTATGTTGGGTTTTTTGCTGGTTAAAGAAGGCACATGGAGAAGGCAGATTAATGAGTTCAAGATTTATGTTTGTTAAGTAATTAAGTAGGCAACTGATTAATCAGGAGTATCATTAATGGCTGTCTGCATGGTTTTATGGAGAACAAATGTTGTGAAGCTGTCCTGACTTCATTCTCATAATGATTTGGTTGATAAAGGTAGTTCATGGAATGTAACAGTGCCTGTAGAGTAAAACATTTGGCTCGGTAGTACTTAATATCGTGATTTTAAAATACTCTTTTTGAAGTAGTGTGAGTGGTGGGTGGATGAAAGCCAGTCAGCTGGTATCTCAGAACTGGCGTGAATTGTCCCCTTGCAGGTGGGACTGCGGAGGTGTCAGAAACCAGCCTCCTTCTGTCCAGTGCTTCATTTGTAGCCTTAGAAGTTGTATATGAGATAATTGATTTAAAACTTTTTGGTGGCACAGATATTAGGGGAATGGTAGTTAGAGGTGGCAGGATACTTGTATACTCTACTTCTGATTATTTGATAAAGTGGGTCCACTAAAACAACCAAATATATTTCAGTGGGCCCTGAACTTGCAGCCCTTATCATTCTAGTTAACCATCCACACTATTAAAGACTATTTTTGCTATTTGACCCACTGAATGGACTGAAGAGGGAAGTGTTGGATTCTTCATGTGTTTGGTTTGCTGTCTAGTTGGCTGTTACCTCCTGTCTTGCTGTTGCTTGATTCCAAACTTCAGTATTTTAACTTTAATTCCTCCTTTTTGGTTTTGAAGGAGGCATAGGGTAGGGAGACTTGGATTTGGGTGTCTTTTAGTTGTGTATCAAGAACTTGAGCATTTATTTATACCAGAAACACTTAGTGCCTCTGTTTTCTTTTGAGCTACCTGGCAACTGCATTTCACAAAACAGTTTCCCCTCTGTGTTTATTATGTTTAGGTAGTCATATTTTTTCTGATACTTCCCTTGAGCAGATTGTGCTTTTGTGTAAGAAATACCCCCCTACCTTCAGTTTAATCCCTGTAGCTATTTGAATTTAAACACTAGGTGTCACTGTTGCGGTTTGTATGTAAGTATATGTTCATACATAACTACGTGTCTGTGTGTCTGTGTTTATCAATTATAATTTTTAGTGGAAAATATATTTTTTCCCAAAACTTACCACTCCTAAAAATATTCATTAATAATAAATATCTAAGGCTGCCTCTTCCTTTTACCCAACCTCTTAAATCACTTTAAGTCATCACTGAGATGAGCAAGCACTGGGACTGGATACTTTCTAATAAATTCATTATGGTAGTGTGTGCCTGCTTGAGGAATTAATTGTAACAGCAGGCAGTACATGGCCCTGAACTTGGATAACGTTTACATATGGAGCAAATTATACTAATGATGGATCCTTACTAGAAACAGAACTCATGCTTTTTTTTAAATTCTTTTTTTTTTTTTTTTTACCCCTAGATTCCGAGTTAAGCTCGGGACTTCCAGAAGACAGCTACTCTTCAGGAGGTGAAGCCCTGGATGGTGATGATGAAGATGAAACGGCAGCCCTTGGCAATGAGGATGAAGAGGCGTCAAGTGCCAAAGCTGGTGCAAGTGCAGGCTGGGCAGATGCCATGGCAAAAGTGCTCAACAAAAAGATTCCACAAAATAAAGCCACTATCTTGTCCAAGAATAAAAAACTAGAGAAGGAGAGAGAAAAGGAAAAACAAGAAAGGCTGGAGAAGAGGATGAAGGTGAGGGAAAAGATGCAGTACTTTGTTTAGCAGACACAGTCAGGTGGGGATACATGCAAGAACCCCTCAGCAGGGATTTGGGAGCATTCTCTGAGACAGTCTCAGTGTTGGAATCTCTCCTCCACAGTGATCTCAAGTAGCTTCTGTTGTTTTTACTTTACAGACAGTTGTGCTCTAGGGCTTTTTCCCTTACTGCTTTTTCTGGGCCATCAGATGGGCTGATCTTTGGCAGCAGGACTGTTCCAGTTTCTCACCTTATGGCGTTTTTGTTGTTGAAAGCAGCTTTAAGCTTGGTTTTCTAATTGCTGCTGTTAATATGGGGTATAATTCACTTTGTTGGTGTTACAACTTGAAATAGTTCCATCTCATCAAAAGTGAAAGGGAGAAAGAGAAGAAAATGGCCTTCATTTGAATTCTGCTGCAGCTTCCAAAATCAAAGGCTTCTAGGTTGAGAACAGTTTCATGTTAGGAGTTTTCTATTACAGTGTCCATGCCTTAAATTGCTTCTGGTTCTGAAACTGTTAGGAAGAAAACAAAACTATGTTGGCAATTAAGTCATTTGTTTGTGTATCTTTAGTGGGACTTTTAATTCCTGGCTGTGATTGATTTACCTTCAGGCTAAAAATACATTAGCAATTCTAGTATCTCATCATCCCAGTTGTGTTTCAATGGGATAACTAGGTTATCCATCTGACAGTCTGGGACATGCTGTGGTTAGGCCACAGCCTGCCTTTTAAATACAGAGAGCTTCAGTTCGGCGTCTGCTCAGTTATGGTTGTCCTAGATACCTGTTCTCCCACCCAGTAAATATGTGGGAGTACTGCAAAGCAGAGGTGGGCTGCAGGTCCCCAAACTGACTTGTTTACCCTTAGAAAAATGTGAGAACAGTCTTAATTTCTTGCTGATGGAAGCTAGAATAGAGCAGTTCCTTTGATCAAAGGCCAAAGCATGGTCAGAAACTCAAAAATTTTTAGTAGTTTGCCTGGAATGAAAAAGATAAGGCCTCTGAAATTCCATTAAAGACTTCTTGCATAAAACAGACTTAATGGAACATCACCAGGCCTAGAACACTGTTGAATTGTTAAAAGGGGGGAAAAAAATCACTACCTTACTCCTGAAGCAGAGGCTGGGGAAATACAGTGTTGTCCTGCTGTAGCAGAAATAAAGCTGGTGGTGTTGTGGTCCTGGCAGTGGGAAAGAAAATCAGTTTGGTTTTGAAATGGAGAGCCTCGAGGAAAAAGACATAAATCAGTGTTGTGCACAGGAGTTGTTTTCTGGTGGTCATTTGGTGCCCTTCCTGGTGTTTGAGTTCTGCCTGTTGGTAGTCTTTGCTGTGTGTCACTGTTGGTCACAAAGTTATACCATGATTGATTCAGTGGGGGAAGTCAAATTACCAAGGCTCAAAATGTGACATGCCTGTCTTGATAAACCCCAGGATTTTATTATGTATAAATACATAATCTCTGCGATCCGCTTGTAAAGTCTTGGAATTGAAAGCTGTCTTTGAATAAATTCTTTGTCTGTAGCAGTCAGTGTGAAAAATACGTGAGTTTTGCTAGACCCTTTTTCCTTGTCTTGAGCCAGGGGCATCACTCTAGTGTGACTCTATCCCGGTTTTTGTTACAGAAGGCACGTGACTCTGAGATCTGACTGTGGCCCCTGGTATGTCAGTGCAAGAGACGTGCCTCAGACCAGTTGTCCAGCCCCGTATTGGAGCTCCTCTTACCCTCAAACCAAACTGAGCTTTGTTGATTTATCTTGTTTTTCCTCCTGCTACACACTCTGTCAGAGTATGCTGCCTTCTGAAACGCTCCATGTTGTTTCACATAACAATATTTATAACGCAGCTCGATAAAAAGCGGGAGTGGGAAATGATGTGCCGAGTGAAGCCAGATGTTGTCAAAGACCGAGAGAGAGAAAGAAATCTTCAGAGAATTGCCACGAGGTAAGAGTTTTTCTGAATGCTTTCCTTAAATGTATGTATATCAAAAAGGGGAAGAAAAGGTTTGTGCAGGTAATCTGTTTCCAATCAGATGGAACTTTTAAGAAGTGACTACCAGGAGCAGAGTGATTTATGTACAGGTTTGGTTGTATAGTATCAAGTTCAACAAAAGATTGCAGAAACTTTATGGAAGAGTAAGAATTTAGATGAAAATGTAATGTTTGCTTAACAGAAGTGCTTTGTTGGATCCTCTCATTTTGTTAAGGTAATGCTTTAAAAATGCAGAACAGTTGTTTCGACTACTGTTTTTTTCCATCTCCGCAGAGGATTCGCCAGACCCACGGCTCTTAAGTTCAGTTGCCTGTTCTGTGTTGTGGTAGCTTGGTGTCGCGGAACTAGTTGAACACCTTGCTTGATGTGCTGTCTGTATCTGTCTCCTTACTCATTCCTCTGCCTTGGCCCACTACTTCAGCTCTCTTAAGATCTTTCCTGAGGGGTTTAATAGCTGACTGTAGGACAAGTAACATGCTTCTGGGGATGAAACATGCTCTTGCACTGGTCTTAGTTCTATGTCAACCACGCTTCCTTTGGGGTCTGAATAGTTATTTGTGGATTTTTTTGTTACTGGTTCCTAGCAATAAGTGTGAAGAAAGAATGAAAAATGAAAGTCTCTTAAGTTGTACTTACTTTGTAACTGAATTGAGGTTCTAGGAAACCATTTTGGAGAGCTAGAAGCCAGCCAGTATCTGCACTGATTAGTTACTTTGGTAGGGGCTTCATTTCTGTAAAGGGAACTTGTGTTAACAACTTCGGTGTTTTTTTTTTTTTTCCCCCTCATTCCAGAGGTGTTGTACAATTATTTAATGCTGTCAGGACTCACCAAAAGAACATTGATGAGAAGGTGAAGAAAGCTGGGAGCTCTGACAGGCAGCGTGCTAAACTGCTGTCATCTGTTTCAAAGAAGGATTTCATCAATGTTCTAAGAAACATGGAAGGTGCTAAAGGAAGCAAGAATCCTGCTGGAATGTCCACAAAAAGAAAACAGGTAGGCTTCATCTAGGAGAAAAAATGTGTACAAGATACCTGTGCAGTATAATTACTGTCCATTAACATGCCTGCTCTCTTCAGAACAGCTGTGAACCAGGTGCCTGGGTTTTTTTGAGAGTACTTAGGAAGGGAGAAAGTATCTCTTAGCCTGTTCTCCCTGTCTTTTGAGTGTCAAGGTACAAAACACTAGAAGCTCTTCTGGTAAGACATCAAGCCTTATGTACGCAGAACTTGTAGCTGTGGGTTTTTTTAAAAAAAAAAGTATGAAAAATTAGATTTTATCTTGGATTTTGCACCAACCGTAGAACAAACTGCTAGATTTTAGTGGCTTGTGGCACTTGGAATTTGACCAACAGTAGTTGTCAGCTCTTCAAAATTGTTGAAAGGCATGGGGGCTCTTCATCTTACATAGTGCATTAGACTGTACTACTTGTGTGTGCCCACAGTTTTGGGCATTTCAAACTCGCTTGTTCTGGATGATTATGCTATCTGGAGCTGAAGGGCTTTGCCATATAAATGAATACCACAACAGAAAGAAACTGAGATGTGTTCAGCATTATATGTAGGCTTTTCTTTCCTTAATTCTGTGTGTGTTAGGCCAATGTGGCTTCATTGCTGCTACGATGTTTTGGAAAGAAGTATTTTAACACATTCTACTTTTTCCAAACACTCCTAAGAGAGACACCGTGCAGTTGGACTCATCCAACACTTTATCAGTTCTTTCAACTCACCAAGTAGCTCAGGGTTGAAAACAAGTTGCTCAAACAGTGTCTCTCGTATTTCAGAAGCTGCACGTTTTTGAAGCGTATTTGTGTTCAGGTTTGAACTTTGTGCTCAGTGGTGGGTGGAATACTTCTGTTGGCCCAGACTCACAGCAGTTAACTAAGTGCTTTTCTGTGCCAGGAAGAAATACTTTAATCAGTAGGGAGACAACAGTTTGTCATATGTTTTTTGTTTGTGTGCACTCGGGGAGCATGCTGAAACACTGCCTGGCATGAAGAGCTCATGCAATTTTCATGCAAGTGTAATATTAAAGTATTTTTTTAAATTCTTTGGATAATGAGAACAATTTAGCTTGGTGCTGACACTTTATTTCTCCTTAAATAATTCCATCTTGCTTGTTTGGGTGGGGAGGTGTGCATGTGTGTGGCTCTCTTTTTTTCGTCTCCCCTAGAACAGCAGAACATTGGAGAGACAGCAGTGCCAGCTACTATTGCAGTAGGCATTGAAGCAACAGCAAAAACTAGAACCTTTTCTTCTTTGTGTGGGATTGTAGCAGGGCAATTTTCCTCATTACTAGGTCAGAAAACAAATTGCAAATGTTCCTATACTATATAAAAAAGTCTTACTTTGGCAGCATCAGTAACAGTATTTCCATTGAAGATGCTGTACATGCTGGCTGGTTCGTGTTGGAGTATTGATATAGGTGCTGCTTACACATTGCTCATGGGCAAAAACTTTAGATTTTGGAATTGTTAATTAATATAAGATTATACTTCTAGGTTTGATTTGTTTGTCTGGGGAGGGGGGCTGGATTTTTTGGTTGTGTTTTTTTTGAATAGCCGTATCTGCCTGGACAGACCACCCCTTCCCTCCCTCCCTTGTTGCAGTTGCTTGCGTGAGTCTCCATTCAGTACAGAACCCAATTCTTGAATAACGCCTTTTCAAGCTGTTCTTAATCTGCTTTGTTTTCTCTTGAGAACGTATCTTACCCGCTTAGCAGGCTCCCATCCTTGTAGTTGTTGATGCTTGAGGTTGAGGCCAAAATCTGATCTTCAGGCTCCTCCTCAGAATTACACAAACATTTAGCCACTGAACAGTACTGCTGACCTCCACTGTCCTGTATCTCTGCTGCTTGGTCTTTCAGGGTTTTTTAGAGGGCGGTAAGCAGGACTGAGGCTTTTGGGTGATGAATTCCTTGCAGCTGGAGTTTGGGAGATTGATTGTGCCATCTGAAAGCTTTTGTTTGTTTGTTTTCTGGTGGTGGGTTTGTTATTTTTTCAGCAGCTTGCTTTGTTTTTAGCAGTTGAGTGTATGGCATGTATTTAATTTTTAAAAAAGAGGGGGGGAAATACATTTATTTATCTGAACAAAAACAATGGAAGAGATGCCAATCCCAAACTCCAGGCACTTTGCCATCAATTAAAGTGCAGTCCAGAACAATAAAAACACCACCCCACCCACATAAAACAAGCAGTCA